GCTATTACAACTATTCCGTCAACTTCCAAGTTATTGAATTCGTCTGCAGATGAAGGTACTACCATGGTAGAAAACACAACGATGATGGATATGTCAAACATCAACAGTTCTATAATTCCGGGATCTATGGAATACATGTCAACAAATTTCATATCAACTAATCATAACAATAATAATCATAATAATGAAACATCACCGTTCTTACCGCGTGATGATAGATTACTTAACCCTCTCGATAACTCTCTATCATCAATCCATCATCGATCTTCGAATTTTGCATTGAATGATGATGCATCAACATTACTGCCTCCATTATCTCCCATATCAAGTCATGGAACCATACGATCATCGTCGCCTGCATCTTCATACATCACAGCCGATGAGTCTTTTTCACCAATGAATCAGTATTCTTTCGATGTGACGGACGACGAGAACACATTAATTGATGATAGAGATGAAGAAAATGATTGTTCACTTGCCAAGGAACCACAACTATCAGTTCCCATCACAAAACCACCACCTCCAACTCCTTCCTTCCGATCATCAAATATGGCTTCACTGACAAGATCACATCTCCTTAAAGAGTCGTCGAACATTTTCATCAAAGAATCCAATTCTTTGCATTTTGAATCGAATGATCCTTCGCCTCATCTTCCTCCCCCTCCGCCTCCTCCACCTCCACCAACACCTCCACCGCCACCAACACCACCACCACCATCATCATCAAAATCCGATCATAATTCATTAAATAATAACAGAGATGATCAAGAAAACAGTGCATTTAAATCATTAAAAGATGATCAGCATCGAATTCATAACAGCAGTAATAATAGTAATAATAACATTAATAGTAATAATAACATTAATAGTAATAATAACTTTAATAGTAATAATAACTTTAATACTCGGTATTACGAGACTCCCATGCAACGCGTTGAAGTAGCAACTCGTGGAGGACACAAAATCATCACTGATGTTAAATTGGATGTGCAACAAATACAGGTGAGTTAATTTGAGAATATTTTAATAATGAGAATAATTACTAACAATGATGATAA